CCCCAAAACCCCAAAACCCCAAAACCCCAAGAATCATTCACATTTAAATTATCATATCAATGTAAATAAAATGCAATATTACTATGTTCAGAATATCAAAAGTGATATTATAATAATATTGATGCATTTTACTATGACATTTATTAATTATTTAAACTTTTATAGTCTTAGAAATTGTCTTTCAAATAAACTTAATTTAATAAGGATCTTCTTATTATTTTCTTTCAAATTTAAAGTCAAATTTTCTCTATCTTTACTTGGTAAAATTTCCTTCAAATTTCTAGCCTTAAAATTTTAAAGTGTTATCATATTCTTCTTAAACCTATTAATGAGGACTTTCCTCGATTCCCAAAGTAATATCTTATTATTAATATCTATCTTTAATTATTGGAGGAGAAACTTGACGAGTTTCATTGGCAGTCTTTAATCTAAAATCTAGTATTTAGCCGTTTAGTTTGCTCTTAACTTTCTTTCTGTATTTTTGTCTTTAACTTTTTCTTTGTTAGTTTGCCATATTCATAATTTATACCCCTTATTTATCAAGATCTATCTAAATTACACTATCACTAGCAAGTTCTGATTTGTTTAAAGACTGACTTTTGTCATACTTTGACTCAATTAAATTATTCTCAGTAGATTAGGAGAACTCTTTGTCTGCAAAATTTGTAGATTACGAATTTAAGGCTTGTTAATATTTCTAAGTTTATTTCAATTTCCATTTTTTAAATGCTCCTATTATTTTAGCAGCTATAGATATTAGGAGTGTTATAACTAAATTCATCCAATTTATGAAAATATTCAGGAGACTTACGATAATCATATACCATCCTATATCATATCTTAGCTAGTTATCTTCTACAATTTCTATATAAACAATAAGGAAGTATGACATAGTCAATAAGGTAGTTTCATTATACATCTCAAACACAAGATCACTTTTAGATTTGAAGGGTTTGAAATACAATACATACATAATTAGAAACAAGCTACTAACAATCTAAATTACAGCTTAAATAAAGGGAACTGAACCGAAAAATACTATTGAAAAAGCATAAATTAATCTCCTGCCGAAATAAAAGATTGTTTAGAATGTATTTTCAAAAGATTTGGTATTCAAATTAGCATAAAATGTCCCACATCTCATAAAAAATTACTGATTTTATAATCTTTCAAAATAATTTCTGAAAAATAGATAGGCTAAGAAAGGAATTAAAATCACATAAAATGTCATTAATATAGTAGAAAGCACAGAAATCAAATCTTCAGACTCCATCTAATGTCAATTATAATTAGATATCATACGGTTTTTAGACTAATAAGAGCAGCAATAGCAAAGTTAAGATAGCCTTTCATAGTTGATCTCAAATAAGCATTAAAGAATAAGGCGTTCTGAATAATCTGGTAAATCTTAGTGAAACTATAGATTTATTCAAATGCAATATAATTACCAAGAGCATTTGCTGGAACACTTTTTAATAATCAAAGCTAGTAATCCAATAATTATTGCAAATATCAACACAAAGAATACTAAACCTAAATTGTTCAAAATGTTGTTTGATTCATAACTTGGAATAGTTAAAATAATCTGTTGAATTAGACAAAAGCAATTAAAAGATATCCATTTATCTAAAGTTTTCTTTAACATTTGAACTTGAATCAGAAACAAAAGCAGAGACAACTGTCTTAATATATTCCTTTGGAATCACATTCATGTTGGATATGTCTACTATTGACTTGAAACATAAAATAGTGTTTGATGGTAATGGAATCTAAAGTAATGGTAAATGAACAATAATCTAGAGGGTTTAAATAAGCATCCAAAGCTTTTTAAGTGATAATCCCATGACTAATGAAAGAAATATATTTGTTGTAACTGCTCCAGTAATCGCTGAGCTTGCTGTAGATGCTAAAGCAGTTAATACCTTAGTTGCAGCTAGTAAAGATTTTAAGATTATCAATACAATTACTTACCATTATTTGGAAGCTAAGGAGGAACTTCATGAATGATTTGATAGTTTGGCTAAATAACTTTTCTTTTATCATCGCTTACAAAGAAGTATCTCTCATTAAATTTTATATCCAATTGGTCATATTCCTGATATATTAAGATTGATGAATTACTTACTTAGCTTGTTGATACATCAAGTGGTTGAGGAAAACTTAACTATATTGATATTTAGTTACTCTTAAATTCTGTGATATTCCAATTTTAAGATTAGGATAGCTCTATTTATTCTAGATTTCTTGTTTTATCATTAGGTGTAGTATTTAAGTTGGTATTGAGGTACTAGACCTTGCCATCCGATCTTTTTAGATAAAATTTTAGTGCTTTAAAGTCAATCAAAGGATTAATTTTAGAAGGCTTGAGCAATTTTGAGTCAAAAAACACATTTATTCTGCCATTTTAATCTATGCTTTTCACACTTGCCGATATCTTACCTGTCAATTGCTTTTTGTTAATTTTTATTCCATCTAATTCAAATACTTCTTCAGTCATTTTAAGATACTCAGCACTTGGGCTTTCTAAAGACTGATCAGAGGATTGTGATTCATAGATAGTTAATTTCATGTTATACTATGTGCTTTATGGATCTATGTTTGAATCTTTAAGAATTACTTGAAATTGATAATCTCCCAAATGCTTCAAATCACTTGGCTCAACAAGCAGCATTTTATCCCAGAGTTTTACAAAATCGGGTTGATTTGCTAGGATAATTTCAACAAAGTCGTTTTCTTTATCAATTATATCTGGAAAGCTATAACTGATAGAGTCTTCATATGTTGTTTACAATGACTAGATTTCCTTAGAAAATGTTGGTGCATTATTCTTCTAAGTTGTCACTGAAAGCTTAATGATTAAATTATTTAATATCAGATTTGTATCTTGTAAAAGCTAGCCTAACACACTTATGTAGTAGATTCCAGCAAGAGATCTTAGTTCTGATTTTACATAAATCGATCTAAATTCTTATGAGAACATTATCTGGCCAGAGAAGTCTTATCCTTTATCACTTTTAATTGATGCTGAATAATTTATACTAAGTTCACAATCTTAATCTGCTATAAATGGTAATATTGGGATTACAGCTGCCTCTTATCCAATCACATAGGTATATATTTGTTTTTGAGGAGGAATATTAAGTTTCTTTGTCTCACAGTTTGTTATTTGAATCATGAAGTAGATTGTTTGATTGATGTAACTGTTTAAATATGCATATTATTTCATAGAAAATGAGCCAGCAATAGAATTATTTGTAGTAAATATTGTTAGATTTTGAGACGTTTTGTTATAGCTAAAAAAATCATAAGTAATATTAGTAGTATTATTAAGTCCTATTTAGTAACTAAAGTTTCCACATCCCTTCTACTCTATAACCCAATCTTTAACATTAATAACAATCTTTGGATCTCCAACTTTATATTTAATTATAGTTTCGTTCAAATTTCCATAAGAAGTTATTAACGCTGTATTGCAACCTCTTTTTACAGTCAATAAAATATTTGTATCATTTGTAATAGAATTTCCTCTGAAAAATGACTACCCAGTTATTTTAAACTAATAAGATCCGATGTAAGAGATATTAAATGTATCTTCTATTACTAGTAATGTTCCGGAAGTCAATGTGATGAGGTTGAAAAAATTACTTCCACCTTTTGGGAATTTTAAATAGTAATTGATAGTATCGATAAGACATAGGTCATTTGAGTTAGCAAAGATAGATGTATTAAATTTCTATTTTCCATCTCCAAGGATATAAGTAAATTTGTATGATTCCTGAATGTTGTCTAAATAATTTGAATCACAGCCACACTCATTAAAAACATTAAAATCAACTTTATCTGTTGCTAACTCAAAGTTTTCCAAATAGTAATGCAAGCTAAATTTTTTTGTTGTCTAGCAAAGACTTAAATCCTAGGTTACGATACTAAATTCCATAGAGATATTGTTAAAAGAATATGTGCTTGGCTGGATATTTGCCTAGTCCATGATTAGTTCATGAAGTACTTTCCCGCATACTTCATGAAGATTATCAAATTTAAATCTATCTAAAATTAAAGGCTGTAAGGCTTAATAATTGAATGTCATTTGTGAGAATTTGGGATTTTAAGGAAATTAGCCCTTACATGGATTTTTCAAGTCTAAGTTAAATCTCTTTTATTAATTTTGACCATAATTTAATTTTGCTGAGATTTAGAATTAATAAGAACCTTGCAAAGAAAGGTTTGTTGTATAAACTTCAAATGTTCGATTCGATTTATTGTAATTTTATATGAAATCATACTAATCTAAAGGTTAAATGGCTCCTAAAGATATTTCATCAGTGTAGTTTAAGGGGCCACAATTATATTGTGAAACTTAATACATGTCAATCAGAATTAACATTGCAGAATCTCCTATTGTATATATTTGATCTTATAACTAGTAATCTTCAGAAATTTCTGTTTAATTGCAATTTTTCGTGATAGATAACTGAAAAGGCACTTTAACAGTGGAATAGCCATTTGAACCTATTAGTAAAATAGTTTTTTATGATACTTTTGCTAGGTCTGTCGTATTCACAACAATTGTATTATTAGGTAAAATATAGATTAGGCCTTAAGATGGAAGAATTTGTAATTGTGTCGTATTATCAAATAATGTGTATGAAATATTAGAACATTCAGAACTCATATTAGAAGTCCAAGGACTAAAAGTCTGACTTGTTGAGATATATGAATAGATATCATGAAACATATTCTGAAGAATACTAGGTGTAAGTTTGCTTCTTATACATGGATGCTGTACTACTAAGGATATGTTATAACCTGATGAAATATTTGAATTTTATACTTGTACGCTAATAGCTAGGTCATAAGTCTTAACTTGAGATAAAAGTGTAGTACTGACATTAAAGTACATTTTATTGTTGTCGTATGAAATTATAGTAGGATCAACTGGTGTTATGTCAGAGTTCATCAAATAGTAATTGAGTCCACATTCCGAAATATTAGCATTGAGTTAAAATTTTCTATAATTTATGACTTAAACTGGATCTCCAAAGACATAAAAGTATGTAGAATTACTGTTTAATCCAGTTTAAAAAGTCAAGTTTTAGCAAGGAGATAGTGACAAGCTTGCTACTTTTATAGTGAAATTTCTTAAGAATACTTGGTTATTATTAATTTTTTGAAATACTTTCATCAAATATACACCTTCGAGAGTTGGGCTAGTTGATTGTATTTTTAGAATTTATAAATTTTTGTCATAATTTGTGACAAAGTTGGAGCTTATGTTAAATAAATTCTGCTAATCAGGACAAGTATTTCCATTTGTTGGATTGCTTATTTATTAGTTTTCAATATTAATATAGATAGGATTAGCTCCAGTATAGTAAGTAACATTACTCAGAGTAGACTATCCAACTTAATAGTTCCTCGAGTTCATTTAACAAGGGAATTAATAAGTATCTAGTTCTGGACTCAACACTCAATTTTAAATTAATCCTTTGTTCAAAGCTACATGATTTTCAATTGTAATGTTTGATGTATCTGTAAAAAAAGTAAGGCTGCTGAAATTTATTATGATAATATCTTTTATGTCCTGAAAATCTTTAAGACAGGTTTCACTTGCATTTAATTATAAAATGAAGGCTACTTTATTCAGATAGGAAGCTCCATTGAATTTTAGAAGACTACCTACTAAATAACCTGATTTATCTTCCCAGTTGACGTATCTAGATAGAATCCCTTTTGTGAGTAGTAATTCAAAACGTGGCTAATTTAGCTGTGGTGGACAACTTTACATTATTTGTGATATATTTAGTTGTAATTTTGAGAAACATAAAACTTTCCCTTATGATGTTAAAGAGGTTAATTATTCTGAAAAAAATACTGAACTGTTAGAGTCAATAATTTCAATGCTCTTGATATAAAAATGTGATACATATAGGTATAATGCTAAAGGGCCTAAACTGTAACTATTTTTATTTATATTGCAAAAAGCAATAAGTGATCTACTTCTTTCGGAATCGTAAAATATTTGATGAAAGTACCAGTATATTGGATCAGTGTCTAGGACAGAGAAGCCCTCAGCTTTCCAATATTATTCAGAATCTTCAAAATACAGAGTAGTCATTTTACTTTTTTAAGAAGTTTTTCCTTTGAGAATCATCATCGTTTACTTAACAGGAAGATAGTTGCCCATTTCACCCTGCAAAAATGTAAATTCTCCAGTAGAATCTTGTTAAACAGTAATTGCATCATCAGCTGCAACTGTAGTTTGTATTTAGTAATATTATCCAGTCTACCAATCGAGATACATTAATACCATATAATCAATCTGATTATAAGTATACAAAATCTCTCCTGTAGCTTAGATTACTAAGGATGACTCTAAAATTCTTTTATCATGAGTACTATTTTTTCTGTAAAGTTTCAATAAGTCTCCATTTGAGTAATTAAAAACTAATAGAGCAAATTGATTATCGTGCTAAAGTATCATGGCTGCTCCAATTGTGCTATTCTAATTAGGTTAAATCTTTAAAGTAACAATCTCACATAGATCGATATTGGTAATTATCTAGTTCCAAATTTGCATTCCTTGCGGCAAAGAGTATTCTATCAAGGGTTAACTAGAGCATAACCCATCTGATTCTATATATCCTCCAACGAGTAAATTTCCCTTGAAATCAATTTCAATACTGTTATATTAAGTACCAAGAGGTGCTTAATTTGAGAATCAAGGAAAGTCATTCATAAAGCAGGGCATTAATTCTTAAGCATTAATAGCCACATTAAAAATGGCAACAAAAATTGCAGGATATAAATATGATGGAAATTTTATCATTGTGAATCTATGTTTAATTTCAGGTGAGATATTATTAATAATATTTTGCTAGTTCTCTATTTTAATTTCCTAGTATATTTCTCGAATACTTTTCAATTGAATTCAGAACGGGGTTTTGGGGTTTTGGGGTTTTGGGG